CTAAGGTGTGTCTCTTGTAGACAGCATATTGATGGATCCTGTTTTCTTATCCATTCTGTCACTCTCCGTCTCTTTATGGGTGCACTGAGTCCTTTAACATTCAGTGTAATTATTGATAGATGTGAGTTTGTCCTGTTTTTGTAAAAGTTTTGACATTGTCTGCTGTCTTCGGGGCATTCAGTAGTTATTTTTCTCGTTTATTGTTTGTAGATTTGTTTGTTTTTTGTTTTTCTTTTAAATTGGACTATGAGCAGGCGGACTGTGTGTTCTTTGTCATTTGCTCGTCTGTGGGCACAATACTTTTCACCTCCTCCTCCAGTTGGCAGGGTCAGTCACTCAGATATGGTACGGCAGGGCAGGTCTAGCTGAAGAGGAGTTACTGGGACGGGTTGTTTGTGGCACTTTCTACAGCCACCATGGCAGGTCGGTAATCAGTGCAGGGCAGGTTCCGGTAGGCCGTGCCTGTGCCGCTTGGTGGTGTGATGTTAAGCGCACAGTGCAGGTAGGCAGGATGTAGCGGGGAGATTGTTATGTGTGGAGCTAAGATGGATATGGAGAGAGGAGAAAGGAACAGGAGCCAAAAACATACAAACAAACAAAAAAGAATGCTAGGGGAGCTTGCCTTCGGAGTAGAGATGAGAGACTATGAAATGGAGAAAAACAAAAAGGGGAAGAGGAAGAAAAGAAAAGTATGAATAAATAAAAATCTGAAATGTTAAAGAGCCGCGGAGTTCCCAGGGATACCACCGGTGCAGCTATGAGGTCTGGGGTAGTCGCTCTCAGGTGTTGCAGTAGAGACTGGCTGGAAGGCATAGAGGTATACAACACCAGGTATTCAGGGAACAGAAAGAGAAGGAAGATATAGAGAGACAAGAAACTGAGTAACGAGGAAAGACAAAAGGGAAAAGAAGACAAAATAATAATAAAAAAAAAAACAAGAAAAGCCCCCCCCCAAAAAAAGAAAAAAAAAACCAACATAAAAAGAAATGCCCTCAGGGATTCCTCTGCACGTCTGTGGAAGCTGAGGAGGTAGTCTCCTTGCCACGCAGTACCGCCTGGCCAGAAAGGGCTCCCAACTCAAGAAAAGGAAAAGAAATCAAACAAACAGTTCAAAATAAACAAACGAACAAAAGCCCCGGGATCCCACCAGTGTGGCAGCCCAGACCGGGAAGCAGCTCC